CTGATTCCGTCTAGCGTATTACTTACCCCTCCCAGATAGTGTCTTCTACAAGTTACATAAACGTGCCATATGTTTTTAGACAAGTCATTAAAAAATATGTTAAACACTACACGTTAAACAACAAACCCAAAGAGATCCCTAGGGAGATCCACTAGAGATCATCTCCCAAGCTGATACTGAATCATTAGTGTTTACTCTTTAGGTCCAGACATTCAATCACTTTTGAATTTATCAGAACCATCAAGACTAGAATTAAAGAGCTACCCACATCTGCCAAATGGAGGTAGAGGGGAAAAAAAGGGAGATTCCTACTTTGGTGGTATTCAACATAAGCAACTACAGACTACTGAACGGATGGACAGATTACTGGAATGAGAAGCACTTGTTCCAAACCCTGCCTCAGACATTCATTAACTGTGAGACTGGGACAAGTCACTTTACTACCCTGGGCCTCCATTTCCTCAGCTATAAAGAGTCTAGACTCAATCAAAATAGACTTCAGTGGGCCCACAATTCTGGATAAAAAAAAAATTACACCTTTGTTTTCACTAATATCTAACTGAAATTTAGCAGTTTCTTTAACTGTAAATTTAAAATAATCTATACTACTCTGAGGAGTCCAGAGGCTTCACTGGGTTGCCTACGGGGTACAAGACACAAAAAAAGATTAAGAACCGCTGGACTAGATAGTCACTGGGGCCCCACCTAGCTCCAGGGTCCCTACAACTACACACCTGTTAAACGTATCTTCAGCAAAGACAAAGTGAAATAGTTCCTATTCTCAAGAAATTTACTTTCTACAGGGAAAATATCACATGTACACATATTATATAGGATGAGAATGAAAAACTTTTGTTAACTGAAAATTTTTTCTTAAAAACCATACAAATGTATTTAAGTTCAAAATGAATAGAAAAAACACACAAACATGAACCATCTGTAGATAGGCAAATCAGAATACGGCCAAGGCCTGCAACAATAATAATAATATCTGAAATTATATAATACTTTTGAGTTTGCAAATTGCTTCACCAATATTTTATTGAAATCTCATAATAACAAGGTAAATACTATTATTCCCTATTTCACAGATTGGGAAATTGAGGCTTAAAGAAGTTAAATGACTTGCTGACGAGTACAAAACTAATGTTAAGAAGAATTTGAAGCTAAGTCTCTGATTCCAAGTTCAGTACTCTTTCCACTATTCTCTGCTAATGCTGTAAGAAATTACAGTAGCTCTAGAAGAAACAAGGTAAGTAAAATTTTTATGATCTATAGCTTTAAGTACTATACCTCCTCAGGATACTGATGACATACAAAGGCAATGAGCTTTACTGCTATGCTACTAATCCAGTAAAGACTAGAAATATTTTTTGAACGCTGATAATTTTTTTAAACCTATTTTAACATTCTGAACACATGAGTGTATCTATCATGCTGGCTAAATGCAAGCATTATTTCTGCACATGGAGGCTTCCTGGTCAGTGCTTTACAGAGTACTGAGACTTAAAAGCTGGAAAGGACCTTGGAGATATTCTAATTCTAAGAATTAGACCAACCTCTCATTTTACAGATGAGAAAACTTAAGGCTAAGTGATTTGCCCATGGTCCCACAAGCAGTAAGTGGTAAAGCCAAGACTCTAAATAGGGCCTTTTCCCTCCAAATCTATCATTCTTAGAATTAAACTCCACTTCAGTTTGCTACGACCTTCACATGACTATTCAGCTCACCCATTTATTTCTTACCCAAGTATTTCTTCTAGATTAGCCAACTGTTCACAGTAGTGCTAACTTGTGTGAAATTACCCAAACTATTTTGCCTCTATCTTCCCACACACAGGAATAACAAAGCATCATGACTAGCCACACACACACAAATAGCTATTAACCAATTTAGATACAGCTAGGTGCTGTGGTATGGAGTGCTGGACAGAGTCAGAATCTGGCCTCAGGCACTTATACTTAAATCTCACTTAGCCCTAGTTTCCTTATCTGTGAAATGGGGATAAGAGAATTTACCACTGGGTTGCTGTGAAAACCAAATGAGACTGACAAATGTAAAGCACTTTGGAAGTCTAAAGTGTTATTATTATTTTTGCTACACCATCTCCCTAAGTTACTGGAGAGGGGGGAGGGAAGACAATGGACACAGTCTCCATCCATTCAATGGTAGGGTCCTTACTGTGGAAAAAATAAATTTGGTTCCAATCACAGACTATATCCTCAAATCTAGCACAGCTAGGTGGTACAGTGGATAGACAACTGGACCTGGAATCAGGAAGACATGGTTCAAATCCAGCATGGGACATTTACTAGCTGTGTAACCCCAGGCAAGTCACTTTCTGCCTCAGCTTCCTCATCTGTAAAACAGGGATAATAACAGCACCTACTTCCCAAAGTTGTTGTGGTGTTTTAATGAGCTATCTGTAAAGCTCCTGACAGACAGTAAAGATCTATATAAGAGCTCACTATTATTACTTTGATGCCACTCCTACTCTTTTTAACCATTAAGATATTCAGATCACCTGGTTACATCTGGAAGCCACTGTGCAGTCAGGCTGGGCCACTCTAGGGCATGGGTCATCACTAAGTCATAGAGAAAAGGAGTATTTTTTTTCCATATTTTATACTCTTCGTTGATCACTCGTTCTTCTACAGCATCATCAAAGGCTGCTAAAAAATAAAATAAATGGAGTTAACCTCTACGTATAAGTACTTTGAAAAAATTACCCATGGCACATATTTCTTTCCTCAGGGAGGATGAGAGGGATATTTAGCCCCTTGTAGAAGATGTGAACCCTCCAAACTTTCCCCCTTTCCCTTTCGTGTGGGACTAGGAAGAACTCCAGGGCTCATTCCATAGGTTTTATAGCTGGAAAAAGGTTTTTGGAGATTGGATTCAGTCCTTTCCTTTTTCAGATGAGTAAACAGGGGCCAAGACAAGAAAAAAATTGGACTGAGCCAATTTAAGTTGATAAACATTACTGTGTGCTTAATACAAGGAAGGCACTAAGGATACAAAGATTAAAAAAAAAATACCCATCCTTCAGAAGCTAACATTCCTGAAGGGTAGGTGGATATAATATATATAGGTAACTAACGAGATACTCTCAAGTTAGAAAGAGTGCTAACAGCTAGGGAGATCAAGAAAAGCTTTTATCAGTTCTAGTTAATGTATGGAAATGTCCAGTTTATTTGAGTTTGTTAAGTTCAGAATACACTTCTTTTAAAGGCTTCTCATAGGAGACAGGAACTATGAGGAACCTTGTAAGAAGTCAAGAATTCTAAGATATCCAGTTGAGGAAAGTGCATTCCAAGCATAAGCTTGTGCTTATCTCAGAGAGATTAAATACATAGTTAAGAGAACAGTAGATGGGCAAATGTAGCTCCAACAGGGATGCTTAAAGATCAACGGTGAAATTCGTCTGGAAAGGTTAGGCTGGTGCTGGATTATGGAGGGATTTAAACGTCAGTGAGGAATTCGTACTTTATCCTAGCGGCAACTGGGGAGACGCTGGAGAACACGGACAAAGTAAGATTCACAATCACACCTGTGTTTTAGGAAGATTACTCAAGAAGCTGGCATGGAAGCTGAAGGAAGAGGGTTCGTTCTAACTAAGAGCAAAGACTAGAACCCGAGATCGTCAGACCCCCAAATCCCGTCCCCCAGCTTTCCAAGTTAAGCCACTTGTCCAAGGTCACAAAGCCAGCGTAGCAGCGCCGTAAGTCGGCAGGAACTTTTGTTCCAATTCTGCCTTTGCTACTCGATACCCCGGTGAACTTGGGCAAGTGCCGTGCCCTCGTGCGGCCTCAGTTTCCCCAACTGTAAAAAGTGGGGGATGGAATCCACGATCGCCCGGAGCGCGCTGCAGCGCACCCCTCCCCCCTGGCCCCAGGTGGGGCAGCGCCGGCCCCTGGCCTCCTTCCTGGGGACAGACACGTAGACTAGGAGAAGAGGCCTGCGGGAGGATAGCAGTACCGAGACACCGGGGAGAACCGGAGGCCGCGGGCAGGAATGGCTCCTCTCACATCCCTCCCTCCGTGGGTCGGGGAGGACCAACTCGGGCTGCCGGGAGGGCCCCCTCCTCCGAGCTCGGCCCCCCTCCTTCCCCCGGCTCCCCTCACCTTCCTTGTCGGCCATGGCGGGCGGAGAAGCTAACGGACGGAATGACGGGCGGAGGGGCCGAGGACTCCCGGGGTCGCGGCACCACGAAGGGGGGGGTGAGGGTGAAGGGGTGGGGGATGGGGAGGGCTCGAGGGCGCTAGCTCAGCGCGCGCGGCCTCTATTGTTTCCTGCTGCCCCTGCGTGTGGCCCGAGTCGCGCACCTTCGCGCCAACGGCGGCCAATCGGAACAGGCCGAGGCGAAAGGGATGGGGGGGCAAAGGGGAAGGAGGGCGCCTCGGCGGAGGCCAATCGGAAGGCGCGTCGCCGCCGAGAGCCGGCTTCGGCATCGCGGTCCACCCCTCCCCCCACGGCTTGGCACCGCCTCCTTCTCTGCCCGCGCGGTCGGGTTGCTGAGATTAGCGAGCGCGCGCGGCCTCGCCGCCCGGGGAAAACGGTTGTTGGTCACGTGAGCGGGGCGGGAGGGGGAGGGGAAAGCTGGAAAACGGGGAGGCTCGAAGCTCCCCTGGGAGGCGGCCATTTTCCAGTCAGGCTCCATTAAGTCTCACCCGATGTTCTGGCTTTGACCTCCTTCGACGGGAGAGTCCTAGGACCCCTCTCCATTGAAGCGAGAGGGAACCCGGGACCCTTTACTAAGGGAAGCCCAGCTTCTTTCCTCGGAGGCTAAGGCATCCTCGCCTAGACCTACAGTGGTATAAGGGCTTGGGGGCTAATTTAGCCCCCACTGCTGCCAGACTCAGCTCCTACTACGTGATAGGGTCTAGGGTCAGCGGCCGTAGCGCGGAGGAGGATGGCAAGAACTGAGGCCTGGCCCTTTAAGTGCACGAGTCGCGGGGCGGGGACTCCGGGCGGAAGCTGCACCGGCGAAGGGCGGAAGTGGAGCCTTGGGCCCAGTAGTCATGGCTCAGGAAGGGGAAGACGTGAGGGACTACAACCTGAATGAAGCGCAGAAGGCGATCAAGGCCAAGTACCCCCCGGCTATCCGGAAATACGAGTGTGAGTGCGCTTCCTCTCAGATTTTGGGCCCTCCTAGCGGGGGAGGCCTTCTTAGGGTGGAGACAGGGCCACAGTGGGAGTCCTCGCCCTAACACCACTGATGGACCCTGGGCACTATCCTCTTACCACACCCCCATTTTACAGAGGTGTAGCGTGAGGCTCAGACAGAGCCCAAAGTCACACCGATGGGATTACCAGAGCACACACTTAAATTCAGTGCTCTTTCCCCGACTGCGCGCTATCTGAGCAGTCCTGGCCCAAGTTTCCTGCTCACAGTGTGACCAAAGACAAGTTCAAGCCTCAGCGTCCTTTTCTGTAAAAGCCTGCATCACAGGATCATAGATTTAAGACTCAGAGGGCGTTTAGTCCAGCCTCATTTTACAGATGCTCTAAGATCTTTTCCAGCTTTACATTTTCCGACCTTCATCTTCAAGTGCCCTTCCAGCTCCAACGTCTGTGCATTTAGTCCATTAAATATTTATGGGCGTCCCTGTAGGTGCTGCCGTTCACGACTTCATCCAGTTGAGAAGAAAGCCTTGAGTTACGGAACAATTTCAGTTCGGTTTCTAAATAGCATAGAAATAAGCAGGTCATATACGGAGGGAAATCAGAGTTTGGATACTAACTTTGGGGCAGCGAAGTCTTCCTGAAGTAGGCAAATTAATTCATTAATGAATTCAATGAATTAGAATTCATTAACGAATAGAATGACACAATAAAAGAAACATAGGATCTGGAAACAGAGGACCTGAGTTTGAATCATTATCTGCAAGTCACTTAGCCGTTCTAGTCCTCAAGTTTCCTTACCTATGAAATTCTATGACCCTTTGATCCATTAGCACGGTGTATTAAATGGAACAGAATTAGGGTGCTAGTCTTAGAGTAAGAAGTCTAGACTCATTGGAAAACTATTATCCTGGCAAACCACTTAATCTCTCTGAGCCTCAGTTTCCTTTTTTGCCCTATCAACCTCGCAGTCATTGTAAGTAAATTTCAATTCTATATAATACTATATAAGCAAGATATTATTGGTATTTTGGGGCCCACCTTTGCAGAGTTTTTTTTCTTTGCTTGTTCATTTAATCACTCATTTGTAACATTCTTTTTTTAAGTTCCAAATTCAATCCCTCCAGTCCCTCCTCCACTCATTGAGAAGGCAAGTCATATGATACCCATTATATGTATGAAGTCATGTAAAACATAGGTCTATATTAGCCATATTTTACAGAGTTTCCTGTTTTTAAAGCTTGAGCTTAGGTGTATGTTACACATAAGTGTGTACACTATATACATTTAAATTCCTTTAGAGGTTTTGGGGTAAGAGTCACAGGATCATAGATTTAAAGTTAGAAGGGACCTCAAAGGTCATTAGTCCAGCCCCCTCGTTTTACAGATGACAACATGGTCACAGAGGGGTTAAGTGACTTGCCTAAGGTCAAATTGGTATTAGACACTCAGCAGAGTTTGGAATTTGAACCCAGGTCTTATAACTCCAAGTCTGGCGTTCTTTCTGTTGGACCACACTACTATACTGAAGTAGGAAAAGGTGCTGAGTAAATTTAAAGGCAGTCAATAAGTATTTCATTTAGTGTCCATTGTAGAGGATAAAAAACAAATTCACAGATATTTGAGTGGCTACTATACACAAAGGCTTATACCAGGTATTTTCTCTTAAAAAGTTTATGGTCTAGTAGGGAATCCAGGACCAGTAGACGTGAAAGAATTAGAGAGCATTATAAAAATATGTTAATTGAGTGTTAAAATTGTAGGTTGCTACAAGAGTTTAGCAAAGAGGGAGATCACTGAAGATGAGTTAGGAAAGATGGCTTGGAAGAGGTGCAACATAAGATAGGCTGGATAGATTTTGACTGGGCAAGAGGATAGATAGCATCCCATTTGAGGGAAATAATCTGATTGAAAGCAGGAAAATGAGCATGGCATATTTGTATGATAACATGGAAACTAGACAGACTAGAACAAGTGGTTGATTGTGGTCTGTCCTTCATTCTTGAAGAGGACTGTGACATCAGGAAGATAACATGACTTGCAATTTAATTTGATTTGAATGAGGGAGGGCTGTGCAAAGTCACCAGTCTCACTTTCTCCTTTGGAGCCATCTGGGTCCAGTGGCCAGATATTGATTGGGGTAACTGGAGATAGCCCGGCAAAGAGTTGGTACCTTTTGGAGAATCATGGGAGATAGGTAAGGAAAAGTCTTGAAAGCCAGGTAAGGGAGTTGGGATAGAAATCATGAAATAGCACTCATGGAATATTCAGTATTCAGCCTAGTGCAAGTCACATTCTGTGAGTTTTCTTTCTCCCAGTATTTTTAAATGGGTGAAATCTGGTTAAAGTAAACCTCCAGGGCAGTCTTGCTGAGGAGAGAGCATAAAAGTCCAATTGTTGTTGTTCAGTTGTGTCCAACTCTTCATTTCCCAATTTGGCAAAGATACTGGAGCAATTTGCTATTTCCTTCTCCAGCCCATTTTACAGATGAGGAACTGAGGCAGACAGGGTTAAGTGACTTGCCCAGGGTCACACAGCTAGTAAGTGTCTGAAGCCATATTTGAACTCAATGAAGATGAGTCTTCCTGATTCCAAGCCCAGTGCTCTATCACTTCGCCACTAAAAAGTCCAGTAACTATATACAACCTAACAGATGTGTATGGAAGAAGAATGGGGGGAAATGTTGTCCAGTGTCTTGTCCTTTCCAGCCTGATTGTATATAAATGAACATCTGTTATTTCTTTAGCTTTAGCTAGTTCTCTGTCAGCCAATCAATAAACATTTATTAAGTGTCTACTATGTGCTAGGCACTATACTAAGCATCAGAGATACAAAGAAAGATAAAAGACAGTTCCTACACTATAGATGTTAACAATCCAGTGAATAATGAAGTCCCAAAGCCTAATGGAAAATAATGACATGACTGCCCTAGGCTTCTCCTTAAATGATCTGGTAGGAGATCTCTAATGTCCACATCTACTATCTCCAATCGGAGGGAGGTAGAGGCCCCGGGAGGAAGGGGTACTAAGGAGATGTGAATTTCAGAGTTAATATAATCTTGCAGGAGGATGAGTTTTTGAAGTCAAGAGAGTAGTGGAGTGGGAAATAATGAGATGACTGCCCTTCTTAAATGGAGGATCTAGGAGATAGTCTGGCCTATTTTGTCTCCCACTCTTCTCATGAGAGGGCTCCTGTTCTTGAGTGGAATGATTATCCACCTTGGTCCCCATTTATTTTAGGATGCCCTAAAAATCCTAGTCCCTGTTTGAGGTGTCATTTTTGATTCAAAGTAAGTTATAGTATAGAGAACTATTATACTAATCACTCACTTAAATATTATTCAGTCACTATTTCATTTCATCAATAACATTGACCCCCTAAAGAATTTGGATTTTATCCTGTGGACAATAAGGAGCCATCAAATCATTTTCTGAAAATACCATTTTTCAAAAGTGATCTAGGAATGAATTAGTTGTAGGATAATTTAGAAGAAAGAGGGAAATATTGGCGGCAAGAAGACTAAGTTACTACAATAATATGGATAATGATTATAACTCACATTTATATAGCTAAATGCCAGCTATTATTATATAGTGCTTTGAGGTTTCTAAAAGATAAACTAATGGAGAGACTGGCTGATGACAGTAAGAATGGGAAGGAAGAAACAAATGTGAAAGATATTACATACAGATTTGAACCTCAAAACAATCCAGTGACATAGAGAAGGTATAATTCCCATTTTTAAAGATAAAGAAGCTGAACCACAAAGGAATTAAATAACAACCAAAGTTAGACAGGTAGTTAAATGACAGAACTGAGACTAGAGATGAAGTCTTTTAATTCCTAGTCTTGTGTTTTTTCAATCCCACTATGCTTTCTTCCCTAGTGTTACGAAAATAGTAGCAGAAATTATTCTTATTCTTTCCTCTGACTGTAACCATTAAGTTGTGTTACAGATATATAAAATATTTATTTCATTGCTACTTCAGTGTTTTGTCTTTGAGCAGAACTCTTTAGATACAATAGAAATTGTGTAGTATATCATATAGTATATGTGTATGTATGTATGTGTATGCATGCCCCAAGTACTGTGTAAAATGTAGCTTTGAATGCTTTTATGAGGATTATAAAATATTTAAGATCTGGTTTCTACTCATGAGAAGTTATTCTTCTCTAGTATTCTAGGTGTCTGAAAAAGCAAAATTTAGAGGAAGCTTTCCATTTGTTTTCCATGGTTGTATTGTAATTCCTTGAATGACATTGTACCCAGAAAACATTTAGTAAAAATTTAATTTTCCTCATTGGGGGAAAATTAACTAGAGTACATTCTACTATGTTTCCGTTGTTTACTAGTGACAGGAAACCACTTGGTTAGATATATTTTTCTTATTAAGAAATAGTAATGTCTTAGATATTCTCCAGATTACTGGGAAATCAGAGTTCATGTTATTCTCTTTAGGAATTGTTAGTTATTTTAGTTACAAGTTTGACTTGTTAAATCTAATGATACCAATTTTAAATTGGACCTATAATTTCATCAGTAAGGTACAGGGTAAGGAACTTCCTTTATCATTGTAGAATGCCACCTTCTCAACAATTTATAGTTTTAAACAGTTGCCTAGGGAACTGAGTTTAATGACTTGCCCCAGCCCCAGGTCTCCTTGTTTCTGAGGCCCACTCTGTTTTACTGTGATGCCTGATATAGCTACTGAATAGTATATAACCAGATAGATTTAAATCTTTAAAAGTAACTATGTACAGATTGATAACAGGGTATGAGATATAGTATTCTGTTTTCATCAGAGTTTAGCATTTTTGTAATAATCAGCTAGGTATAATTTTTTTATCTTATGTGATTATCAAATTTAGGATCTCATTAGTATTTTTCCCTCCCTTAGATCTGGATCACACAGCTGATGTACAGTGAGTATTACTGGAATTTGAAAGCATAAAGTCACTACATATATTCCTTTGAAAATCTACATTTAAATTGAAGCTAAAAGGGAGGTTCTGTATTTGGCTACTTTCATCCTTGTTTCTCCTACCTAATTTGGTTCCTCTGGAATAAGAAAGTGGTAGTTTCAAAGCGCTCGGTATTAGTGCATTTAGTCTTTTTGTGCTTACGCTGGTTTGCTATCCCTTTGCCCTGAAGTGATTCTTTTGCAGAGGTGACTTGATCCCATCTCCATAGGTTACACGCTTGGGGAGACACATTGGAAGAAGCATTTGAGCAGTGTGCAATGGCCATGTTTGGTTACATGACAGATACGGAGACTGTGGAGCCTCTCCAGACAGTTGAGGTGGAAGCTGAAGGTAAAAATTCACTTTTCTTATAAAACAAAGGCATCTGAATTTGGGTTAAATGTAGGGACTAATTTTGGTTTCAGAGCCCGGGTGATAACATATTTCCCTCTTCTTGGCAGAGAGTGGGAGGTAGTAGGAATAGAAGATGCATGTACCGTTAGACATGGCCACTCTTGTCAGTTATGCTTGGTGATTTTTGTTTCAAGGGAGGGTTCTATGGGTTGGGAAAAGGAATAAGTAGTAAGCACCTGCTGTGTGCCAGGTATTATGCTAAGCTCTTCACTTTGGTCCTCAGAACAACCCTTTGAGGTATGTACTGTTATGATTCCCATTTTACTATTGAGGAAACTGAGACAGATAGCAGTTAAGTACTTCCCTGGGATCCTACAGCTAGGAAGTGTATGTGTCTGAGACCAGATTTGAACTCAGGTTTTCCTGACTCCTAGCCCAGAACTAGATATCCACAAGTTGCCATATATGCTCATTTGGGGAGCATATTTAGAAGGACCTGTGTGGTAAAAAACCAAAAGGATCCATTAAAACGTTTTTCCCCTGTACTTTTCTTCTAGGTATAAGTGCATTCTAAAAGAGGGAATTGCTATAAATGTGCAACATTTCATGTTATTGAATGTGTTAGAAAATTTGACAGTATAAGCAAAAAAAAAAAAAGCTAATTAGCCAAACCTGTTCTTCCTCTCACGTTATATATACAGATATGTAGTTGTTGCTGATTTTTATTCAAGGTAGAAAATGTGGGGGCTCTTACAGTAGTTTTTCTATTATCCATTCATTGACCCATCAATCTGTACTAAGTATGCTGTGCTAGGGGCTGGAGTGAAGAAAAAGATAATTGAGACATGGTTCTTTTCCCTCATGAAATTTATAATCTGGCAAAGAAGATGACCCATATATTAGTATGCAGCACTGTATAATAAATATACATTAGGCAAAGCAAAAAATATAAGCATAAGATGGGTACAAACTTCTTTGTTAGGAAAGATCATTTCTGAATTTGAGAAACTTCAAATGTGTAATCCTTTGTGGTTTGACTTTGTAGGAGATGACCTGCAATCTCTTCTCTTTCACTTTTTGGATGAGTGGCTTTATAAATTTAGTGCCGATGAATTCTTCATACCTCGGGTAAGCAATGATTTTCTTTGTTACGGAGTAGATGGGTTTTCTGTCCACTGCACAGAATCAGAGTTACCTCAGAAGCCATATTGTCCAACCTATTCCTGAGCAAGATAGTCCCCTCTACACCCTCACAGACATTTGTGGTCATCCAGCCTTAGTCAGAATGCCTCTAGGGAAAAAGGAACCTGTATCTTCTGAGGTAGCCCATTTCACTTCTAGAGAGGTCTTGTTAAGAAGTGCTTCTTGACATCAAGCCCAAGCCAGACTCTACAGTTTTCACTCATTGCTGCAGATTCTGCTGTCTAATATTTCTTTAAAACACATGATATCATAATAACCTTTCAATACTTGATGATAGCTATCTGTTCCTGAACCTTCTCTTCTTTAAGCTATACATCCCCAATTCCTTCAGCTAATCACCACAAGTCATGAACTCTTCACCTGGTGAAGCCCTTCACCTGGTCGCTCTTTGGTGAGCACTTTCTTGCTTATCAAAAACCTTCCTAAAATATGATATCTAGAACTGAATCTAATACTCCAGATGTGTTCTGACCAGTACAGCAATGACTGATCTCCGTAATCCTGGACACTGGGCCTTTCAGTGCTGCCTAAAATTACATTAGCTTTATGGCCTGCCATGTTGTACAGTTGACTCATTTCAAGATTGCAGTCCATAGATTATTTAAAGTTAAACTAATTGAGACCATTTATGCAAATGTGTAAAAAGGTATTGATTTAGAGAAATTATCCTAATTTTTTACTGAAACATAATTAGTTTGCCCTAGGTACTTAACATTTGAATCCCCTTTGCTTGAGGGAAGGGTTCTGATGACCCTGATCACTTTTTTATCTAGAAATGTTGGTATTGGGTAATGCAAACAAACCTTTTATTATTACATACAAGTCTGGTTTTTCTTCTACTCTTCTTAGGAAGTGAAAGTACTATCTATTGACCAAAGAAACTTCAAATTACGCTCAATTGGGTAAGTAATAGGTTTTTTCAAACCTATTTTATTTTGCTTGCTCTCTTTTGTTCTTATAACACCTTACTTCTTCAATATATCTCTGATTTCTTGGGGCAGCTAGGTGGTGCAGTGGACAGAGCACTGACCCTGGAGTCATGAGGACCTGAGTTCAAATCTGGCCTCAGACACATAATACTTCCTAGCTGTGTGACTCTGGGCAAGTCACTTAACCCCAATTGCCTCACTAAAAATATATATATATATCTCTCTCTGAATTCTCCTTTACCTGGGGAGCCATCCCTTATAATAAGGAACAGAAAAGGAAGAGGAAGAAAAAAGCAGTTCAGCAAAACAAGCCAAATCTGGAGTTATAAGCAGCATTCCATATCTGTTGAAAAGAAGGGGAGAAGTACATTCACACATCTCTTCTTTGAGGCCAAGCTTAGGTCAATCAACAAGCATTTATTAAGCACCTGCTATGTGCTAAGCAGTGGGGATACAAAGAAAGGCAATAGATGGCTCCTCCTCTCGAGGAGTTCATTGACCGGGGCAGGGGAGACAGCATACAAACAGGTATGTATAAACAAGCTATAGACAGGCTGAAATAGAAGTAATTGAGAGAGAGAAGGCATTAACATTAGGGGCAGTCTGGATAAGCTTCATGTAGCAGATAGGATTTTAACTGAGCTTTGAAATAAGCCAGGAAGTAGACATGAGGAGGAAGAGAATTCTAGGCATGACAGAGAGCCAGTGAAAATACATGGAGTGAAGAGATGGAAGAATATCCAGGAGGCCAATATCACTGGATTGCAGAGTATATGGAGGTGAGTAAGGTGTACAAAGCCTGGAAAGGTAGGAGAGGGCAGGTTATAAAGCATGTTGAATGCCAAATAGAATCTTATATTTGATCTCGGCATGATGGGGAGCCACTAGAGATTACTGAACAGGGAGGTGATATGGTCAGGCTGCTTAGGAAGATGAATTTGATAACTGAGTGAGCTAGAGGGACTGCATCTGTGATTTTATTAGTTTAGAGAACTCCTGGATGATGAAACTCTACCAAAACAGGTCACACTTTCTCTGCAGCTGATAGTCTTAGAAAATACTTGTAGTACTTAGAAATCAAGGTATTTGCCCTGGGTGACCCAGGTCTTCCTGGTCCCAGGGGCAGCTCTTCATCCCCAGTGCCAAGTTATCTCAAGGAACCAAGTGTAGTTGTTATAGTTACACAGTATAGAACCTGTCTTAAAGGATGAGTCAAGAAAGTAAGTAAAGATGTCAGCATTGTATAATTTTGGAAAAGTGATAAAATAGAAACTGTTCAGATCTTAGTTACACATTCAGCAGGCTAACCTCCTGACTCTGCAAGTAATTGCTAGTAAGTATTTATTCCACTTTCACTTGAAATTGAATTAAGGAGATATGTGTGTGTTAAAACAGCATTCGTCAGGTACCTTCTATATGCAGAACCCTGTACTATGCGCTGTTTTCAGGAGTGCCTGTCAGCCTGGTAAATACTATTTGACCAAAGTGCCTGAAAAACTAAGACAATGGACCTTTCAAAATAAAATTATTCATGAAACAGTTCTTTTTTTTTTCCTGTGTGCTTAGTTATTGAAATTTCAGATCACTTATATTCCTAGTATCTTATTAAGGCAACTAAGTGACATGGTGGATAGAGTACTGGGCCTGGAGTTGGGAAAACTTGAGTTCAAATGCAGCCTCAGACACTTACTAGTTGTGTGACCCTGACAAATCTTTCTGCCTTGTTTTAGTTTCTTCATCTGTTATACCTCCTAGGGTTGTTGTAGAGGATTAAATGAAATATTTGTTAAAAGCATTTATCATAGTATCTGGCACCTGGTGGGTGCTATATAAATCCTTATTCCCTTCCCCACCCTCCACTCCTGACACATATATACTAGCTATGTGACCCTGAGCAACTCACTCAACCTCTCTGTGCTCATTTTTCTCATCTGTGTAGCACTTACCTCATGGGGTTGTTATAAAGATCAAATAATTATGAAATAATTTAATTTCAGTGATTAAATAGTATGTGTAAAGGGCTTTGCAAACCTGAAAGTACCATAAACATTTTAGCTATTATTTCATAATACAAAAATCCAATAGAAATTCCTAAAATTGTGCAAGATTTAACCATATCTTTATTTTTCTTAAGGTGGGGAGAAGAGTTTTCTTTGACCAAGCACCCTCAGGTATGTAAAAATTCAATAGATTTAAACGTTTTTTGCCCAAAGTGAGAGAGGCATGATATAATTTTCCTTCATAATGTTATGTCAAAAGTTGTTTTTTGTTTGTTTTGTTTTTTGTTTGTTTTGTTTTTTGTTTTTGCTGAGGCAGTCAAGGTTAAGTGACTTGCCCAGGGTCATACAGCTAGTAAGTGTCAGATATCTGAGGCTGGATTTGAACTTCCTGACTCCAGTGTCAAAAGTTTTGAATGAAGAGTTTTACCTTGTTAGCTGTTATGAACAAGTCACATGCACAGGATACCTTAGTGGACAGATTTTCCCGGAATTTATATGACTTGTCTGGAAGTAAATGACTAATGTGTGTGTGGAGCATGTTAAAGCCTTGTAGAAGTGTCTGTTATTAGAAGCCACTTGGCTGAGTGAGCCACAGTAAGTCAGGTGACTTTGGAGCCCCCAAGCATCTCTGAATAAGTCCATAAGCAACAGAACAGTTGCTGAGCTGCACATTGGTAGAGGGAAATCACAGGTATGGACCAAAAAGATTATTGTTATATAATTTGTATTATAATAATATGTTTTTAACCATATGCCAAGCATTGTTTCCCGAGGTCAGGCCATGTGGTAGAGGGCACCAGCTCTGCTGTCAGACAACCTAGGTTCAAATCCTGCCTCTGATGTTTAGTACCTTTATGACTAGAGCCAAATCATTTAGCATACCCCTCAGATCTGGGTCTCCACGTCTTTAAAATGAGCAGGTTGGACTAGATGGTCTCAGAGGGCACTTTTAGCTCTAATCTTATAATCCTATGCTCTTTCTAAAGAACAAGCCTAGGCTTGTGAAGGCCATAGCTGAAAGCCAGAACAGTTGGGAACCACTCCCGCCAAGCTTTGTGCTCAGATGGCTACTCTGTAACTTGACTGTCTCCTAATCAGCAGCTATTAGATCAGTGGTAAAAGTGAAGGTCTGATGAGCAGCAGGGAAATAATAAAAAATAGAGGTGATAATAATAGCGTGCATATAGCACTTTATGGCTGCAAAGTGCTTTACAAATATTAGATCATTTAACCCTCACAAGAACCCTGGGATGTAGGTACTGTTATTATCCCTATTTTGCACGTGAGGAAACTGAAGCTGGAGGAGATTAAGTAACTTGCCCAGGGTCACACAGCTAGTAAGTATCTGGGTTTGAATTAAAATCTTCTTGACTCTAAGTCCAGTGCTCTGTCCAGTGTGCCACCTAGCTTCAAAGAGGCAGTGGAGGGAGACGAGTAGGTGAGAGAAACAGAGCAGCATGAATTTTTGGTCTTTATGCCATGTTGTTTTCAGGGTTTATGATTATATTTTACTTTCTTTTCTCCATTTAAATTTTATTTTAATTTTTCTGTCTCCAATCACCATTTTAGGGGACTGAAGTCAAGGCAATAACATATTCAGCGATGCAAGTCTATGATAAGGAGAAGCCAGAAGTTTTTGTAATTATTGACATTTAAAGCACAGTGAAAGTCCTTCTAAGAAGAGCTGTTGTTTCTTTTCCCTTGGGGGAAAACACAGTAATTGACCTAAAAAAGGAGAGAAAGAAAAAGGACAGATATGGATAACTAGCCTTCTCATAAGAAACTGAAAATTTGGGGCACAGGTGTATTCTACCCTCTCTCTATTCAAACTTGGAGAAAAATTCAGGTGGCAGAGTATGTTTCCTCATTTATGAATTATTGGCTAAAGTAGCAAGAAATTTAATCTTCCCTACCCCTACTATTGCTGTTGAAGCATACTAGCCCTATGGGCTTTTCTATATTTTCCATTTTTGAAAATGGGTCATTGAGAAGATAGGTTTCAGTAAATTTTGCTTTTTATCCAGTTTGCTAAGATAATTTTAAGTTACACATATGAAACAGCTAAATGATGGGCTACTGTGAGGTGCCATATCTCTTGTACTCCATCTGGATTCATTTTTAAAGAAATGGTTATAGTTGCACTATAAAAAGACTTTTTCTTTGAAAAATTCACTGAAACATTTCGACTCCTTCTCTTCTTCCTTTTTTGTTTCCTTGCAAGTGACTGTAAGATATGATGGCTTCCTAATACTTTAATTTTAAAATAAACATGGGTAGATTGTTAAAGACTGGAAGGGAAATATGTTTAGGTGTGTGTTTGTTGTAATTAACAGTGCAGCCCTTCTCTGGTAAGGGTTCAGGTGATCAGGAAAATTACACTCAAATGACAGCCTTGTTGCTTTCCTTTTCAGTGAAACTGTTCAGTCACATTTTTAACTTGACCTTGCTCTGTTGCTCCAACTGCAGAAAAGATTTTGTTGAAGCATCTCTCCTAGTGCAGAAAACTTTAGTTTGCTATTTATACACTTTTTAAAAATGGCCAGTGAGTAGTGCTATCACTTATTTCTGTATCTGCCAAGATTTACCTGAAAGGAAGATTTTGGCCATGTAAAGAAGAATACCTTTATACAACAGTAGCATTGTCCTTCTGTGACTTAGCAGAAAGTGGAGTTAATAATGACTTGGGCCAAGAGTCCGTTGATTGGAAAAAACTGTGATCTACAAAAATGAGCATTTTGTCTTATATATATAGGCTGACCAATTCACGTCAGCATGGAGCATTACTGGACGAAAATGATATCTTGTAAATCTAAAATGACTTGCAATTTTCCTGGTGTAAGTTTGTATATCTTCAAGCAAAATTGTCAAAAAGAGCTTCCTTAATCTTTTTGTAATTAGTCATTTTTTGAATAAAAGATTTCTGTTGTATAACCTGAGGGCATAAAGAAAGCTGAATTATTATTTCCCTCCTGGGCTTTGTATTGGTCTTTGCAAATAATATACTTAACATTTGAATGAATGATCTTTCCTTTGAGTGGCATAGTCCCTCGAAGCCCTGAAAGCTGGGGAGAAGGGAGAGTACTGGACAGAAGATTTGAATTCCAGGCCCTGACCTGTCCTCAAGCCAGCCAGTAAATCTTTCTAAGCTAAGGTTTTTTCACCTGTAAAAGGAGGGATTATTAAACTGGACCTAAGGTCTCTTCTCACTCTTAAGTACCTACTATGTGCCAGGTTCTCTTAGGTACTAGGGATACAAAGACCAAAAAATGAAACAGTCCTTGCCCTGGAGATCACATTCTATCAGGTGACATGTAGCTCTAAGGGCATAGATATAGTATAGTTTTGGTGGGGAAGAGCTAGCAGATGGGAGGAATCATGTAATAGGTTATATGGCTTGAGCCAAGTTGTGAGGAACCTAGGGATTCTAGAAAGGTAGAGTATTGTGCATAAAGGCACAGAGGGGCCAGATGGATGTAGAGTGTAGGATGGGTAGAGCAGTGGAGTTTGTGAAAGAGGGTCGTGAATTTAGTAATCTTTCAAAACAGTTTGAGAAGGTCCTTGGGTACCAAACAGAGGAGTTTGTATCTGATTCTGGAAGCTAAGTAGGCCAGCTGGATGAAGGCTGTAGGACTGTACAGCATAACACTTGACATGTCACAAAAGCATGTAATTTCAAATTCTGGTGACCTAGGGGACTTTCTTTTTGCCAACCCCAGAAAAAGGTTCTGTCCAATCAAGGGATTCCATATCTGCTGTTCCTACCCGGCAAGCCCTCAGCAGTAGGCCTTGTCCAGTCCTGAAGTATCCCCATGCCCAATTCACCTCCTACTTAAATTTTATTCCTTTGGGAAGTCTCTGCCCATGCAGGTGGGGCTCTCTTGCTGGCAAACACTAAACTCTGTTGGTTGCTAAATTTTTTAATTAGATTTGGTTCTGGTTCTTGTTGGTTCCATCACTGACAATTTTACCCACAACTTCATTAACTTTCAGGGAATTAAGAAAGGGATTTATAGAGAAGGCATAGCAAGAACAAATAGTGTAATATTGCCCACAAAATGGGGTCACAGTTTGCACACACAAGGTCCCTACGGAGGAGAGGTAGCATGCAGAAGACGTTGTGGTCAAGGCTAAGTACCACTCCTAGTCGCTGGAATCCTTTCTCCCTTTGTGGAGTCCAAGGATTAGGTAGAGTCCATTGCTGGCACGTGTCCATCATTGGGCACTGCCACTTTAGTGGCCACTGCTACAGCATCCAGTGGATTCTGCTACTCGCTTCAGTTGCCAATGGGACAGCTGATGGATCTCTTGAATTCAGTCATTCCCCTTGAGATCAGGAAAGAAACACAAAAGAAAGAGGAGCCATGCACTCAGGGGACAAATAAGCCAGGTGGGAGATGAGTATCTTTTCCCCATCCTGGCAGCTTATAGCAGTGCTTGTTTCACTGGCAGACAGGAAGGAAAAGAGATCATTGGGTGACCCTTTTTGATGTCTCACTAGAACTCGGTTCCAGTTCAGCAATTCCTGAGTCATAAGGCCTTCCAGCCCTTCAGCCAATTAGAATACATTTCTCATCTCACAATACCAGCCCCTCATGACAAAGGGCCAGAAGCAGGCCTCCCTCCATCCCCACAACTTATCGTGTAGTCATTTGGGCTGGAACCAGACAGGAAATATGTGCAAAAGCTTCAAGGATTAGGTCCTTATTGGCAAACCTTCCCCAGTACTCCCATTACACAGAGAAGCTCAGAATCAGCTAAATAAGGCGCTTCACCCAGAGTATGTAGATTACATCCTAGAGAAAGAGGTCTTCTTAACTGAGGCAAAGGAAACCACAAGTCCAGAACCGTGGTATGATATGATGGTGATGGAGAGTTCAGTTACCCAGGTGCCTGTTGGCGTCCTCTGCTAAAACTAGAGCTGTTGCTTTTTTCACCTGCCTTAATGATTTAATCATTCCAAAGGTGGAGAAATCAACAAGTTAAAATTGTATTCAGGAGGTGCTTCTCTACAAGGGTGAACTGCTTGGCTGGGGGGGAATAGTGGAAATCTTGGGGAAGGGGGTTATTCCTCTACCAGCTGTACACTCTTTCCTTTTTGGTCCCTGACTCTACTCCCACCATCTTCTCCACTCCTATTCACATGCTTCTGAATGTAGCTAAGGGAAATTGTTAAACTATGCTTATTGGGTCCACCACAAATTTATGTTATCTAATATCAACTTATCCCTCACTTCAGCAAGGCAATTTTTTTTTTTGCTCTTATTGTTCAGTCATATCTGACTCTGTGACTCTATTTGGTTTTGAGGGTTTTTTTTTGTTTGTTTGCAAAGATACTGGAGTGCTTTGCCATTTTTTTTCTCCAGCTCATTTTACAGATGAGGAACTGAGGCAAACAGGGTTAAGTGACTTGCCCAGGGTCACACAGCTAGTAAGTGTCTAAGGTCAGATTTGAACTCAGGTCTTCCTGACTCCAGGCCCAGCCTTTTATCCATTGTGCCATCTAGCAAGGCAATCATTATACTCTCTAATCCTTTATTCCAAACTCCACCTTGGACCTTTTTGTTTCTTTAGGCCACCCATGGCATCCCTCCCCACGTCCCCCCACCCCCCACCATCTCTACTGAGAACTTCACTTTTTCTTCACTGAAAAAAAATTTGGATCACTTGCTAAGATATTCCTCTTATCTCCTTCCCCTCATCTCACACCATCCAAACATCTTTCTCCATTATCTCCTTCATTCTGATCTTGGATGAAAGGATGGCCCTTCTGCTTGCCGAAGCCAATCACTCTACATGCAGCCTTGATTTTCCCCTCTCCCATGTCCTCCAGCAGTTTGCCTCCACTATCATCCTCTCTCTTTTATCTTCCATTTCTTTCTATCCACTGGCTCCTTCCCTGCAGGCTACAAATATACACCTATATATACATACACCTATGTCTTCCCCATTATTAAAAAACTCTCACTTAATCCTACCAGCTGCACTAATGTCCTATATGTCTTGCCCTCTTCTAGGCTAAAGAACTTGAGAAGGCTATATATGCACAGTGCCTCCACTCTTTTAATAACCTTCTGTAATTTGGCTCCCTATCTCATTGTTGAACTGAAACTTCCCAAATTTGCCCATGATCTCTTAATTACCCAATCTAATGGCCTTTTCGCAGTTTTCACCCTTGAACTCTGCAACATTTGACACCACTGATATTTTCCTGGATATCCTATGAGATTTTGTGACAGTGTTCTCTTGGTCTTCCTTCATCATATCCAACCTCTCCTATCTGCTTTACTGGATCTTCTTCCAGGTGTTTCCACCTAACTGTAGGTATTTCCCAAGGTTCTGCTCTGGACTGTCTTTTCTTTTCGCTCAACAGTATCTCACTGGGTGTTCTCATCAGCTCCTTTGAGTTCAACAGTCACTTCTATGCAGATGACTCCCAGATCTACATATCCAGCCCTAGTCTCTCTCCGGAGCTACAGCTATGGATCACTAACTGCCTTTTAGGCAGCTTGAACTGATCTCAAACTCAACGTGTCCAAAACAGAACTCATCTTTTCCCCAACACCCTCCTCTCTTTTTAGCTTTCTCATTAAAGTGAGGGCACCACCATCTTTTCAGTCACCTGGTTGTACAACCTCGGCATCCTCCTCCACTCTGGAATCTCAGTCACTTCATACGCCCAATTCATTGCCAAATCTTTTCATTCACACCTTCACAAAATCTCTCTTCACCCACACAACTAACACCCTAGTTCAGGTCCTTATCAATGCTCTCCTGGACTATTATAAAAGCCTTCTGCCTGATATCCTTGGGTCAGATCCCTCCCCATTCCAATCCATCCTCCTTTCAGCTGCCAAGGTGATTTTTCTAAAGTGTAGGTCTGACCATGTCACACCCCTGCTCAATGAACTTCAATGGCTCCTTATGACCTCCAGAATCCAAATATCAAGTTCTCTGAAATTGGAAACTCTTCCTAACCTGGCCCCTTCCTACCATGCCGGTCTTTTTACACTGTACATTTCACACATTTTACCATCTAACTCACTGACCTATTTGTCGTTCTTCCCTCATGACATTCCATATACAGACTGTCCTCTGTGATGGTGATTCTGTCCTTACCCTTGGCCTCTTAGCTTCCATTTCTTCATTCAACACAGCTTAAATGCCACCTCATGCAGGAGGCCTTTCTTGAACCCCTCATTGCTTCCATCCGCTCTCTCTATATCTTCTATATGCCTTGGCATTTACACACTGTCTCCCCAGTAGGATATCCTGGAGCCCAGGAACTTTTTGCCTTGCTTCACATCCCTAGCACTTAGGTGCTTCCCAAGGAGCCTGGCACATAGTAAGCACTTAATAAATACTGATTGATTTACTAAGCGACTTGTCTAAGATCATCCAGGTGGGTAAATGGCAGAACTGGAATTAGGACCCAGGTCCTCTGACTGTGGATCTAGCACACCTTTCTACTGCATTGCATACACCTATACCTATAGTATTGTCACTAGCTGACACAGAAAGTCAGCCTGTAGTGTGGATTTATTTATATAAATACATTTATTTATATAAATTTTTATTTGTATATTTATATAATAGGATTATTTTATTTTCATGTTCAAGTGTACACGAAAGGAATCTGATATTAAGTCCATGTAACAAATGAAATGCCACTTATTGATACAGACCGCACAAAAAATATTACCTCTTGCTCTTACCAGTGCAGATTAATTGTACACTTGAAGTCCTGCTTTCTATAAGCATGTCACTTTATTGCTAAAGAAAAAGGATGGCATAATACATAATTTGTCCACCAGGTGGTGCTATGCTCACAAGCCACCAGCCCAACAATTTCGTCAGTATTCAAGTACACATGGATGGGCTTCCCCAAAGACTGTATTATCTTTGTTCTCCCAAGACTACTAAACTTTCAAGCTTT